ATTATATCTCTCAGTAACTTGTGCGGACACGCACTGTAGCAGCGCGACGATGTTTACACGCTTGAACCTTGAACGTTGCAAAGCTATATAATATATATTGGCGAGCGACGCAGCATAGCAGACGCGTCAAGCGAGCGGATGACTATGATTCGGGCTCGGTTGCACCTTACTTCTGACCAACAGAAAACAAAATACATGATAAAATCAACGATGCTCGGTCAAATTTGAAACTGAAAGATTTGCTAAGTTTCAACGCCTGCGTGGAATCGAAAATAACCTTCGAAACATTTAGAAAATAAACTGAAATTAAATCGAGGAAACAAACGTTTTCTCAAGTTGAAACAAATGGTTGAATTCGTTTTCTTTAAGAAATTTATTTATTAAATTATATGAAAAAATATGCAACATTTAATGACAAATAAAAAATACTAAAAATAAGTTTATCATGAGTTTTGACCTGTAATAGTTGCCAAACAAATCCAGTTTTGATTTCGCGTATTGTACCAGTGCATATAGTTACAAACTTGCATCATAACGAAACATTCGATCGTTCGATTACGATCATTTCATTAATGATCAGTTGTACTCATGCGCATCTTTGCGACAACGTCTTCGCGGAGTCCTGTAATAATTTGAATCATTTTAGATGAGTTAATATCTAGTCATTTTTATAAGTTTTGTTCTACCATAAGACACGTAAGTAATAATAAGACATGAGAAATAACACGCACTATAAGAATTAATTTTGTGTACAAATATAAACATAATATACACATTGGATTCTACACTCCAAACCCTACTTTTATTCACGATTTGGCCTACAGAAAATATAGGATTTTGTAATATCAAGCGTGTTTTCAAAAATTAAGAGATTCTCTATGAAACCCTACGCGTACCCGAAATCGTCCTATCGTAACCGCATTTTCACGCGACACTCGCCGATCGAGCTCTCGAATTCTATCCTACAAATTGTGAATTTCAGCCATAGAAGTACGAAAAACACTTGGGTTTTTTCAAAAACTTGCTAATTATCGAGTAAGTCGTAAGAACGATCCAGCTTCCCCTTCCCGTCGATTTTCCCCCTTTCTCGGCGGCTACCTACGAATCGTATACCTATTTATATACGTACGGTGGTCAGTGTACGTTCCGACGCCGAGTCGTATATAAGCAGCCTATATACAGAGAGACCCACAGAGAGTCGGCACAGCGAGTGATTTTCGTGAAAACGATCGAAAATATCTCTTCAAAGATGGAAAAGTTAACACGTTTGAGGGATTCGAATTTGGACTTGGAGAAGCAGGAGGACAGGCGCGAATTCCTGCGCGAACTCTATCCCTTGATCGAGAATTGGAACGGCGAAATTCCGGATCTCGGCAAGATGTTCAAGTCGAAAGAGATCAACTGGCTTCTCATGGAGGACGTGCGTTGCGAGAGCAAAAAAGCCGCCTTCGTCGACTTCGCGATCCAGGCCGAGTACAAGGACGAGCCCGACAGCGACGAGCGCGCGAATTGGGTGTTCCCGTCGCCGAGGCGCACCACCGCCGTACACGTCGCGGCCAGCCAGAAGCGCCCCGACCTGGCCCTGATCGCCAAACTGTTCCGCATCTACCGCGGCGACTACGATTACACCGACGAGGAGACCGGCCTGACGCATCTGCACGCGGCCTGCATGTCGGCCGAGCTCGTGCCCTTGGTGGCGCGGTTCCTCGACCTGGAGCGATCCGATCCGAACGTGCAGGTCCGCAAGACCGGCGACACTCCGCTCCACTTGGCCGCGCTGCACCGCAACCACGAGGCGGTGAATCTGCTGCTTCGAAACGGCGCCGAGCCGACGAAGCCCAACCGCCAGGGACTGAGCGCGCTGCACGTACTCTGCCAGGTGGACGACGACGAGGGCGACGCTCGATTGCGGGAATTCTTCCAGGTCTGCGAGACAGTGCGGAAGCAGCTGTATCCCGACGCCCGGGACGCCCAGGGTGACACGGCGCTGCACGTGGCACTGCGCTGGGGCAACAAGAGGGCGGCCAAGCTGATGCTGGCCAAGGGCGCCGATCCGTTTGCGCGCAACGCCGCGGACCTGACGCCGCTGCGTATGATCGTCGGCCTGGGCGATCGCGACTTCGCACGGATGTTTTACGAGATGTGCGTCGAGCTGGGTCGAATCGACGATCCGCATTTGGTCAACAACAACATCATCGACAACGACGACCAGAAGGAGGATATATTTCTTAAGATCCAAAAAGCACACGATAGACGGATGGTGGGGGCGCTGCACGCGGCCATCGAGTCGCACGACATGTACTCCGTCGATCGGTACGTGAAACAAGGGGCGAATCCGAACGCGCGCGACTCCATGGGCCGGACGCCTCTGCACGTCATCTGCCAGGTGGACGGCAACGGGGCCCGCTCGTTGATCGGCGAGAGCCTGGCCGCGCTGTTCTTCGAGACGTGCGACGAGGCCAAGCAGCGGCTCGAGGTAGACGTCCGAGACCGCCACGGCCTGACGCCGCTGCAGTGGGCCGTCGGGAGACTGCTGCCCGAGACCGTGGAGCTGCTGCTGCAGCGCGGCGCCGACCTCGCCAAATTCCGCTTTCCGCCGCGCGCCATCTTCTTCTACGACGAGATGCTGCGCCCCGAGGATTACAGCGGCGGCGGCTCCTCGGTGGAGGCGAGGCTGGAGATCGCAGCGTGCGCCGCCAACATCTGCGACAGCCTCGAGAAACGGGGCTACAAGCCGAAGGACTGCGAAGTGCTGAAGCTGATGGAGTGCCTCGCCCAGTACGGCCTGTTCAAGAACGAGGGCAACGACGATTCGCGGGAGCTCGCCGAGAGCGAGGAGTATCGGCGCCACGAGGAGCGACTGAGGCGCCTGTTCTGGCCGTGCGTGCTGCCGCCATTCATGGAGAAAAGAAAGTATCAAGTGCCGACGGATCGGACCTGCGTGGACCTCGAGGCGAAGAGCTGCCCCGTATTGTGGAATATTTACCGTAAGGACGCGGGACTCGAGAAGTAGCTCGCGATGATCGAATTTTTTGTATCAAGTGACTTTTGCGAATTTTTCACGTCGAGCCGGTGTATTTTATGAATAAATTTAAAGATAAACGCAGTTTTGAATATTCTTTTTTTTTATCGATCTATCTACCTACGCATCGAAGATAAAAGTAAGCCATGTATCGTAATAGGTGATGCAGGACAAAAAATGAGATATCCCTTGACGATATGGAACACAGAGCGGAGAAAAAATTATTGATTTCTCAAATATATTGGACAGAGATATTCCTGCACAAGTTCTTGACAAATAGTAGGTTAAGGTAAGGGATTAGGTAAAGGATTATGTTTAAGTATATTTTCTTTGTTTGCTTTATATATACGCTTTTAATTTGTACCATTATTGCAAGTTGCCGATCGGTCTTTCGACTTTTGCGAAAATAAATTTGACCGCATCATTTTTATTCCTATTTTTCTCTGTCTTCGTTTATCTTTCTTCTAACATATGTGATTTTGTTTACGTATCAGCGTCGTCTATTTCTCGCACACACGTATAGCGTGTAAGTCGGTACACGTTACGATCGATCGAAGCGTGAACCAAGCGTAGACCATAGACCACGGCAAGTGGTCCGCGTGACAAAAAAAAAATTACAACGACATCTCCAACGATGGCCGAAGACGACGAGCGCGCGTGTTTGGACGAATTGAGAAGATCGAGAGGGCGGGTCGATTTTCGTAACGGAGCGGGGAATTACGCGAATTTCTCGAGCAACTGTATCGTCTCGTGGAGAATTGGACGGGCCAACTGCCCGATCTGCGAGATATCTTTGAAGACGCGGAGATCGATCGGATCCTCTTGTGGGACTACGAGGACAACGAGTACTTTCGCCGTCGCACTCCTTTCGTCCATTTCGCGGTGAGGAGCGGCTACAGGGACGCGACCAGACTCCACGAAAACGGCGCGCCACTGTTGCTTCGATGCACGGCGCTGCATCGCTTGGCCCGCGCGCGACTCCGCCTACTGCAGCTCCTGGGCTCTGTTCGCGATCTACGAGCAGGTACGAGGCCAATTACCGCGACGAGTCGGGCTTTAATCGGCCGATAATTAGATGGTAGATAGGGATACGGTCGCAATCGTGTAGGACCGAGTATCGAGTCTAAAGTCGAAGGATGAAGCAGAAGCGGTGATTTTACATTCGTAATGATATCACATATTGTTACGGTTATTTTATACATATATAATGAACGTATGTAGTAACTTTATATTTTGCCAGTATCGCTTACGACAGATCTATCAATTTTCCTTTGTTTAACAATGTGTTTTACGCTCGAAATTAATAAACGAACGATCGAATTCATTGATTCGCTGGTGTTTTTATTTAACTTCTATTTTATTTACGAATAATCATAATTCAAAACAATGATAAATTTAATCTTAAAAAAAAGGTCGAATTCGTCATAAAATAGTCGAAAAAAAAGCATCCAATTGAATTAGTTCACAATAAGTGTGTTTAGCACGCGATTTTGGTATATGGTAAAAATAAATATTTATTAAAAATTGCACTACAAGCATCGTATTTTTAATCCTTGTTATTTTTGTCTAGAAATGGAGTACTCGGTAAAAAAATGCAATGATCAATAAAGTTCTTTTATTAATCATTGAATACGCGTGAATTTTTTCAGGATTTTATTTGAAGTCCACTAACACCGATGATTCTAGTTTCGATGCAAGGATTTTCTACTGTCTTATGAATAGGAAGTGATTATCTGGGAGAAAACTTTACTGATAAATGGAATAATTGGAAGACCTGTTAATACTTTAGTTCGCGCACAAAACGTCAGAATGAGGATTTCACAATCAACACAAAATGAATAAAAGTTTGAAATATTTTATTATTTTCAACAAAATTAAAGGATATTTAGGTGAAAGATTTTTTATAAATTACAAGGCGTAATCATGTATATTCACCAGTCTTCATCGCACCCAGAAGTCTAGGAAGAGTCTCGGGATCCTAAGGTTTGCTCCTATTATGTATTTTCTTTATGTGAGCCTTGAGGGCATCTTTGCGTCCAAATGATTTGTGACAAACATTACACTCAAAGAGTGCGTTTCGATCGTGTACTGAATTTATGTGATTTTTGAGTACATTCTTGTATCCAAATGATTTGTGGCAAATTTCACATTCGAAGGGTTTGCTATGTTCATGTACTGCATTTATGTGTCGTTTGAGGGTACCCTTTTCTCCATATGATTTGTGACAAATTTCACACTCGAAGGCTTTTTCTTTACTATGTACTACAGCATTCATGTGGCGATTGAGATCACTTTTTAGTCCAAATGATTTGTGACAAATCTCACATTCAAACGATATGCTACGATTATGTAATGCATTTATGTGTCTATCGAGTACACTCTTGTATCCAAATGATTTTTGACAAATCTCACATTCAAAGCGGTTGCTCTTATCGTGTACTGTATTTATGTGTTTATTGAGGTCACCCTTGTATCCGAATGACTTGTGACAAATATCACATGCAAAAGGTTTGTTACGAATATGTACTGCGTTTATGTGCACTTTAAGGTTATGCTTGCGGCTGAATGATTTGTGACAAACGTAACATTCATGTTGTCTTATGTTCTGTGTCTTATTGATATGTGTTTTTAGATTTTCTTCTACTTTCTGAGCTTTTCGACACAAATTATTATATTCGAAAATTTTTACCTCTTCTGATTCGTCAAGATTCAATTGTGATTTTTCTTTTTTTACTATAATCATTGGATTTTTTTTATCCAAGTTTCTGCTCTCAAGATGATTTTCTATTTTCGCAATAGGTCTATAACTTTGATCCTCAGTTTTGAAGTTAGTTGCTAATAGAGACTTCAGCGCAGGTTTCATATACTCGAACTCAAAATCAATGAATATCTTTTCATTCACGTCATCTGTCTGATTTCCGTTTTCTACTTTTACAATAGGTTGATGACTTTCATCTTCAGTTTTGCAGTTGGATGGAGTCTTCAGTTCAAGTTTAACATTTTTGCACTCAAAATCGACTGATATTTTTTTATCTAACTTTTTCCGCAATACCATAACCTCATTCGCGTGATTCGCCTAAAATAAAAATTATGTCATAGTTTTCGATAATGGAAAAAGATTATATCATTCGAATAATTAAACTCACCGATGATTCATAAAATGTGAATGTTTGAAAATTATCGACATTGGAAGACTCCACCGAATCCAAAATATTATCGTCGCCTACATCTGTATCGCTTGACTCTTCCTTCACCCTGAAGATTATAATCGAGTTCGATAAAACGACCGTTTGAAAAAATATCATGGCAAGAACAAAAATTAAAAAATACCTTACTGTGTCCTCTCGGCTTTCCATCGGTTTAATTAAACTCGTAATCGCTGGGAATTTTCCGCGATACACGTCGATCAAATAATTGAGGTTAATTTAGGTTGAGAACGATACTCTTTCACGGATATTATTTGTAAACACTTGCTTACTGCGGGAATGTAGCAGCTCGCTCGCGACTGAACTCACTTAGTAATCGTGCATTCGCGTTTGTGGTAGCTCTTCGCCGATGCTTCCCCTTCCACCATCAATTTGCCATACGCAATTATGTGCTGCGATAGACATGAAAAGCACTCAAGAGTCACGGGTCATTCAAACTACCCCAAAATTGTAATGTAAACTTTATCTTTCCAGGTGCATTGACTTAGTATCAGGTGAATCATTTAAAGATGCTTCGACACATGAACAAAACATAATTTGCATGAGCTACTTTTCTAAATTTGTGTTGAAATCGACGAACGATTCATTGTTTTACAATGGACACATTCTATTTTCGTTGGATTTCTTAACAATCAAGTACTTGTGAATCGACGATAGATTAAAAAAATTTCAAATATTTAGAAATTCATCGCAGCACAACCCACCGTTAAAAATAATGATTTTCAAGTAACCGGAATGCCTAATTCATCTATCAAGATTGATAATAAAACATATAATTTAAAAAGTGCAATATTTCATGAAAGTCGATCGATGATCGAAGGCCATTATATAAATATTATAAAGAAAGAGACTTTGATAAAAAAAGGTGGTAAAATAATAAAAAAATTCAATTTAATAGAAATAAGTGATAAAGCATTTTCTCGCTTAGAAATTTCTGACTGGCCAGAAGACTCGAGCAAACAAATTTATATATTACTGTTTGAACAAAATTAAATTTATAATTTTTATTGAGTAAAAAATTGTACTCAATGATAAATCGATCAAAAATATGTTTAAATTGAAAAAAAAACTTTGAACAAAATCTCCTTTGATATAAGAAACTTGATTTTTTGTAAATATTTATTTTATTGTAATTATGAAAAATATAACGACAATTAAAAACTTCGGCACGAACTATTAAATAAAAATTTGACAGTAAATCAAAAAAATATTATTAGGCTGTCTATGGACAGCCATTAAAAGTGAAACTTCTTTTAATTAAATTCAATCAACTCAATTTAAGATTTAAAGAAAATCTAAAAATTTAAGAAAGTCAATCGAAATTATTAACTAGCTGTCTGTGTTTAATTCAAGTAATTCAATTCGAAATTTAAAGAAACTGTAAAATTTGAAAAAAATCAAAATTAAAGTTCAAAATTTGAGTAAATTAAAAATATTAAGTTAGCTGTCTATGGACAGCGATCAGAAGTGAAACTTCAAACAAGTCACAATGTAATTGTCAATAGTAAGTAAATCCAAAAAAGTCAAAATAAATATTAAAAAGTAAAAAAGTTGAGTAATTAAATCCAAAAAAGTCAAAGCAAGTCAAAGGAAAAAACATCAATGTTCAAGCTAGTCACAATGTAATTCAAAAAAACAAAAATTCGAAATCGAGAAAAGTTGATGAAAATTTCAAATTGTAGAAAGAAAAGACTCTGAAGTTTCACTTCTGGTGGTTAGATTCTCTATAATGCATTATACATATATGAAATTTACTTTTTACTTTTTTTTCTAGACATATGCCCGAATTCGTAGGTTCGTGTCACATGAGTCATGCCTGTGCATCGTTGGTCGCTTTCTAATCGTTATGCCCAGTCAAGTATCTCTGCATCGCTCACACTTTTTCTATACTTTCTCTTTCTTTCTCTCTGCACGTAGATCGTGCGATGCGCGTATACAGTCAGTACACTTTGAGCAGCCGTAGCGTGAACAGCAGTGAGTGAGTTTAATTTTTTTTTTTTCATCAAGTTTCAAGAGCGTAAAACCATGGCCCAATGCGATCAACATAGTCTTATGTTATTGGAAACTTTGAGAGCCGAGGGGCGATACAAATTTCTGACCAAAGTATATGGCTTGATTAAGAATTGGCGGGGCCAACTTCCGAATCTCTTGGACATCTTTCGAAAGGAAGAGATCGAGTGGCTTCTCGCGGAGTCCGTTAAAAGATCTAACCAGCGGGATCCGCTACTGCTCGCGAATTTTGCGATCGACTCCGGCTACAGAGACGAGCCCGATCTCGACGAAGACGGCAAGCCAATTTTGCGTCGCACCACACTGATACATCACGCGCATAAGAAGCATCACAGTGCATCCACGATCTTGAATCTTTTCACGATGTACAACAGATTCGATTTGAATTACACCGACGAAGATGGATACACGCATTTCCACATGGCCTGCAAGTACAACTGTGTCGACGTCGTGAAGAAATTTCTCGAGCTCGGCCAAGTTGATCTCAATCTCGTTGTGGAAAAGACGGGGGATTCGCCGCTACACTTGGCTCTGAGGGTCACTCACGAGGAGGTAGTAAAATTGCTTTTGAGAAATGGCGCTAGCCCGAATTTGGCCAATAAGGACGGAACGACACCTCTGCACTTGATCAGTAAGATAGACACCTACTACGGTTTGACAGATAAGTTCTTTGAGATATGCAGGGACAGACGTCAACCGGTAGAGATCAACGCTCGGGACAGCAAGGGTAACACACCGTTAAACTTGGCTCTGAGGCACAACAGCAAGAAGGCGATCGAAACACTGCTGAGAAATGGCGCCGATCCGAACTTGGCCAACGAGAAAGGAGAGACACCTCTGCATATGATCGACACATGGACCGAAGCAGGCCTGCTGAAGACGTTTTTGGACATCAGTGACGCAGTGAGTCGTCCGGTGCAGGTCGATGCCCGTGACAACGAAGGTAACACACCGCTGCACTTGGCCGCGAAGTGCGGCCTCGATGATACGATCGAGCTGCTGCTGACACGAGGCGCCGATCCGAACTCGTCCAACGAGGAGGGACAGACGCCGCTGCGATGGGCGGTGGCGAGCGCCAGGCCGACTGCGGTCGATTTGCTGCTGGAACGTGGCGCCGACCCGTCCGGCTTCGTTTTCCCCTCGGAGAGTCACATAGTCGAGGCGCACGGCGAACGGGGGGTGGAAACATTCCTGCTCAATTTCAAATTGAAACTGACCTCCGGCCTGCTGGACTGCGTCGAGCGTCTGGAGAAAAGAGGATACGAGCTCGACCGCAGCGACGCCTTGATGATCATGAAATTCTTCGCCAAGTATGAATTGTTCCGGAAGCCGAGCAATCCAGACGGCACACTTTGGTATCGCGATTCGATGTACACGGGAGAGGCACTGACGAAGACGAAGGTGAAAGAGGGTCTGTCGCTACAGGACCTGATTCAGACGCGACCCCAAGACGCGAAGAGACTGATGACGTGCCGGGATTATTACGACTTCGCGTGCTCGCAGATGGATTCGCAGGAGCACCGTCGCGGCGGCTTTCAAGAGGTTTGCGAAGCGGATCTGTGCGAGAGAGCGTCGAGAGGATTTTTCGAGTTGTGGGCGCAGCAGCCCTTCCTGGAGCTGATACATTATCGCCTGCCGATTGAGATGTGCGAATTTATAATGTACCATTTGAGTAACAAAGATTTGTACAATATTTGCTTGGCGGCTACGCCACGGTCAAATTGACCGATTAACCCAATAATAAATAAATTATAAAAATGAAAGTTTGAAGTTGTATGTTTCAAATTGTTTATTCATTACCTCATCGCATTATCGAGACAAAATTGATCTTGACGCAGATCAAAAATATAAATATGATTTCTTTAAAAAATCATGTGAAATCGTTGTAATATTCGCTTGATTGTTATTCGCGCGACTCGCTTCATGATTGGTTGACATTTTTTGATCACCAAGATCGTAATATGAATCTTTGTGCAAATGCCGATCGTGTCAGAAAATAAGCAGTCATCTGGTTAAAAAATAAAACACCAACGACAGTGACAGAAGGTGTAATGATAGTTGATAGCAGGAGGTTCGGGTAAAACGAAATCACGTTGACACGAAGTCTAATTATCTAAAAGAAATTAGTTCGAACGAAACTTTATTGAACTTGATACAAAATATTCCGAAAGTCAATTAGATAAGTTTTCTAAGAGATTCGAAGCTTTTACATTTTTATAAACGATCCTTACGTCACTTACGTTCTCTTTACTAACCTAGAGAGTTGTCCAATGAGTAGTTTATATGAATTTTATAAATTTAACTTCGCGTGTTCATTTTCACATTTATTCCGTGAGTTATCCTAACAAACTGTTTTTCGGTGTACGATCAAAGTAGATCGATGACCAAATTTCTTTTTACACTTGTCGCATACATAATCTTTCCGATCTCCGTGGATCGTCCTTTGGTGTTTTAACAAAGTTGATTTTACTCCAAATGTCCTCCCGCAATAGTGGCATGCGTAATCTTTGCGACCTTCGTTGCAAAGACTACGCATTTTCGTTTGGTGTTTGATCATATTGGATTTTAATCCAAATTTTTTCTCGCACTTGCCGCATGTGTGATATTTGCGACCTTCATGGGTTGATTTTTGATATCTTAGCAATTTCGACTTATATTTAAATTTCATCTCGCACCTGTCGCAGGCGTAATCTTTACAACCTTCATGGATGATCCTTTATGTGTACGGTCAAACTCCTTTTATCCGTAAATTTCTTCTCGCACCTGTTACAAGCAAAATCTCTACGACCCTCGTGGACTATCTTTTGATGGTTGAGCAAATGTGATTTTTGTCCGAATTTCTTCTCGCACTTGTCACATGAGTAATCTCTGCCACCTTCATGAACCATTTTTTGGTGCTTTATAAGATTTGATTTTTCTCCAAATTTCTGCCCACACTTATCGCATGAGAAATCTCTTCGACCTTCATGGACTGTCTTTTGGTGGGTGAGTAAATGACATTTATGTCCAAATTTTTTTTCGCACATGCTGCATGCGAAATCTTTCCAACCTTCGTGCATTGTCCTTTGGTGGGTGAGCAAACTGTGTTTTTGTGTGAATTTCTGTTCACACTTGTCGCATACGAAATATTTATGACCTTCATGGTCTGTCCTTTGGTGCACAAGCAAATCCGATTTTTGTCCAAATTTTTTCTCGCATTTATCGCATGCGAAATCTTTCGGACCTTCGTGTATTGTCCTTTGGTGAAGCAGCAACTGCTTTTTAACCCCGAATTTTTTTCCGCAATTTTCGCATGCATAATCTTTGCGACCTTCATGAATTATTTTATGATGTATGAGCAATTGCTGTTTTTGTCCGAATTTTTTCTCGCACTTGTCGCAAGAGTAATCTCTGCGACCCTCGTGAATTGTTTTTTGGTGGTTGAGCAAATGCGATATTCTCACAAATTTCTTTTCGCACCTGTCGCATCCGTAATCTTTTTGACCTTCATGGATTATCTTCTGGTGTTCGAGTAAACATGATTTGGATCCATATTTCTTCTCACACTTATCACATTCGAAGTCTCTCTGACCTTCGTGGACTGTCCTTTGGTGAACAAATAAATACCCCCTTTTTTTAAAAACCTTTTCACACTTGTCACATCCAAAATCTTTTCGACTTGCATTGACTGCACTTTGATGTCTAATTAATTCCGATTTTTCTCCGAATACTTTTTCGCGCTTGAGGTATACAAAATCTTCGCGATCTTCGTGAACCGATTTTATGTGCAAAAGCAAAGTCCGTTTATTTCCAAATCTCTTCGCACACTTTTCACATAAGTAATCTTTGAAAACTTCGTGGAATATTTTGTTGTGCTTGAGTAAAGTTAATTTATTTTCAAATTTCTTCTCGCATTTGTTGCACGTGAAATTTTCGCGATCTTTGTGTACCAATTTCTGGTGTGTAGTCAAACTTGATTTTTGCACAAATTTTCTCTCGCACATGTCGCCTGCAAAATATTTACGGCTTTTGTGTTCTGATATTTGGTGTCTACTCAGATGACTTCGGAATTCAAATTTTTTCTCACATTTGTCGCATCCATAATTCTTCTCTTCATTGTGAATTGTGTCGCGGTGTGCTATCATGCTTGATTCCAGTGTAAATGCCTCCTGACAAATATCACAAACGTATTGTTTATCGTCTGAAACAACAATGTCGTTGTCACTTGAGTCATGACTTGGGAATTTCTTCTCACTTTTATCCATTTTGGTGCCGAAATTAAATGACGGATCTTCCTATTTGGTGCCACGAAAATTGAATGAATAAAATTTATCTTCCTAGCATGATGGCTGATTCGGTCCGACAACATTGAAACTAATTTGTTTTTACTATAATCATGATCAGTTTTCGATGAAATACGTCGAAATCGTTTCATGATTGTATTGTTTACAATTAAGTTAACGATTATTCTGTTTATACATTTTCCGTACAATATCTGAACCAGTTTGAAATTCTAACTTGGCGAAGATTCTTAAGCTATATTGTACGCCGTCGTCCATTGTCGCCTCCACGGCCCACTCAAAAAGTTTTTCACGTCATTCGTAATAATATCTATAGATGAATGCGTTATTTTAGATCAAATTAGTTCAGTTAAAACTTTTTTTCGTCGTCTTCGAAAAATCACCATTATCGATCGATGCGTCTTTTTCCACCCTCAAAGACTCCTCTACTCTTAATCCTTTAAACACGAAAAAACTACGTGCAATTCTTTTTTCTTTTAATGTTGTATACATACTCGCGTAAGAGTACGAAACTAGTTATTTTTTTCAAGAGATTCTCGATTCAGCGAGCTAATTGGCACGCGGCGTTGAATCGCGCACATGGTCCGAGGCCTCGAACGCTCTAAAACTTCCGCCTCGCTCGTTACGAATGACATTATAAATATATCTATAGAAGGGTTAACTCAGCTTTTGCGCTATAAACGAAGAGAGAGAGAGAGAGAGAGTGGGAGAGGTGGCAGTTTTACAAGCTCCGTCGGCCACTTGCTCGAAATTTGAATTCTCTCTCTCTCTCTCTGTTTTTTATGTATAGCCGCCCTCCTCGTACATACATACACCATACATACAGTATATAGACGCGCTGAAGCTTTGCGCCTGGCCGTGCGCCTCGTCACTCGTATATACTGTACACGGCTCGTGTAGTGTGGCAGCAGCAGCAGCAGTAGCAGCTCGAGCTTACACACAACGCGTAAAGGTGTTTGCGAGTAAATTAATAAGGGTTTGCGCGTGCTCGAGCGACGAGGAGACCCGTACAGTAATGCGTATTATGTACTGGGCTGTTTTTGCACGAATTCGAGAGCAAGATGTATGCTGCGAAGCTTATTCAAATCATTGGGGTCTGTCTTTAGGGAAAGTAAGTTTGTGTATTAATAATGAAAAACAAAGGAAAAAGAACGGTCAGTCAGCGAGCATTAAGAGATATTGGCCTTTGCTGTGCACTTATCATTTTAATAGTAGAATTACGAGAATATAAAACTTACGCATTAAAGTATACACGAATGAAAAAACTGCTATTAATACAATATGGCCAATCTTTCTTCTAAAAATTTTCACATTCATATTTTTGTATATAAAATGAAAAGGAAAAAAAGTAAGACTTTTTAGTGCAAAAAGTCGTCAGCCTTTTTTTTTATATTTCTATATACGCCTAAAAAATATCAATCGGTTGGAAAGAATATCAGTTGACATTGCAGGAAAATGTTCGGTAATTAAAGTTCCTGTTCGAATTCCATCAAATTTAGACTTTTATGTTTGTAGTATACTTCGGAACAGACACTCAGCGGCTGAGATGAGAATTTTTGCGAAGTCTATTATCTATTCACTGTGATAAAGAAATACAATGAACAACAATTGTTCTCATTGTCAAGCCTCAAAGCGTTCATTGATTTTAAAACTTCACAAACGTACTTTACACAAGTCATACGTTTTGTTGGATTATCGACATCACTCCAATGACTAATGAAACTTCATTTGATTCCTAAAATCACATAAGTAATTGTACCATTATGTACGCACGTCGGCGTCGATTCACAGAAACCCGCGTATACAACCCAATTCTGCGCCTGTATACGAATGTCACTTTCATCACGCACATTTATACACAACAAATAGACACGCGACTGACCGCCGCCGCACACGTCCACAGCAAGTAGTGGTCGTCGTCGTCGTCGTCGTCGTCGGTGGAAGGGGGAAAAATACAGTATCACCGCAAAGAAGCTATCACAGTCACGCGGCGGTAATCGCCTCTCGAAGTGTTCGATCGCGCGAGGAGCCCCATAAATGTCTGCCCGCGTGTAATAGAGTGTGTTTACGCGAAATCAGTGGGATCGAGGCGCCCGTATAACCTCGAATGTATCATATTCTCATAGCGTGCGTACTACATCGCGTTCGAAAATTCGCACAGTGATAACGTACGATCGAACGCGCGTGTAGCGATGGCGAGTCGAGAGACAGCGGCAAGGTATTATATCGCACTTTGTATGTTTTCAAAAGGGTTCTCTCTCTCTAATCCCATAACTTGGGATTATTCTTCAGGTCGAAGGAGAAGCCGGTCTACATCCTGCCGGACTACGCGGACGACGACGACACCTCCAACTCGATGGACCCTTCTGCAGTCGGTAAGTGCAAGGACCTCGCGCTTAACCTCAAATCGCACATCGACGCTGGGGCCCACGACGATCCCGACAAGAGCGACGAGTGCGAGGTCTGTCGCGAGTTCTTCGGCCAGCGGCATCCCGTCATCAGAACTCGCAGCGTCGTCGTCGTCGATCTCGAGAAGCCGCACGTCTGCGAGATCTGCGAGAAGCCGTTCAAGCAGAAGCATCATCTCAAGACCCACATGAATTCGGTGCACGATCGTAAGGACTCGTTCGAGTGCGAGATATGTCGCAAGTCGTTCACGCAGAAGTCGCATCTCACGTCGCACGTGCAGGCCGTGCACATGCGCACCAAGCCCTTCGAGTGCGCCGTCTGTCACAAGTCGTTCGGCCGCAAGAGCAATCTCAACACGCACCTCAACACGGTGCACTATCGCTGCAAGTCGTCCGAGTGCGACATCTGCCACAAGTGGTTCGGCACCAAGGGCGACCTCGCCAAGCACGTCAACGCCGTGCACAATCGCGCCAAGCCCTTCCAGTGCGCCACCTGCGGCAAGTCCTTCGGCTACAAGTACAAGCTGAAGCTGCACGTCGCGACGGTGCACCAGCGCGCCAAGCCCTTCGAGTGCGAGATATGCGGCAAGTCGTTCGGCCAGAAGATCCATCTCAAGCGTCACGCCAACGCCGTGCACGTGCATCGCGAGTCGTTCGAGTGCGAGATCTGCGCCAAGTCATTCAGCTATCAGCCCAATCTCAAGAATCACGTGAAGACGGTGCACAATCGCAGCCGGCCGTACTCGTGCGCGATCTGCGGCCAGTCGTTCGGCTACCGCTGCAAACTCAGGCAGCACGTGGAGGCGGTGCACGAGCACAGCAAGCCCTACCAGTGCGAGATCTGCTTCAGGTCGTACGGGCGCAAGGATAACCTAAAATCGCACGTGGCGGCGGTGCACGAGCGCAGGCGTTCGTTCGAGTGCAGGCACTGCGGCGAGTCGTTCGTCTACAGGAATCTGCGCAAGCAGCACGTGGTAGCGGAACACAGCGACGAGTTGGAGCTGGAGCTGGAGCAGCAGCAGCAGCAGCAGAAGCCAAAGCAGCAGCAACGTGCAAGAGAGGAGGTGTTCGAGTGCGACATCTGTCACGTCGCGTACGATCGCAAGGATAGCTTGATAGCGCACATACACGTGGAGCACTACAGTATCATTTCGATGTGATGTTGTTGTTTTTTTTTTGTTAAGATTGTCCATAGGAGATTAATTATTAGTTTTTCTTTTTGTTGTAAGATTTTTGTAGTCGCTTTATTCGTATGCTTTGATAACACATTGATAACCTTTATTTTTCTAAGTAACAATATAATACTTTCATACTGTCGTTTATTTTGTCGTGATTGTAAGATCCTTTACTGACCTATCCCAACACAGCAACTAAAATATAAACGAGTTTTTGTTTTGAATCTTTTCTTTCAATTTCATGTTCAGCTTCTAACATTCATATAATCTAAAAATCATTAATTTTTTTTCAAATTTTAATCAAAGTTTAAGTACTGTTTTTTCACATTAATCTCCCTTACTCGATAAAGAAATAAATATAATGAATAACGACGGCTCGGAAAGGCTCGATCGATGAAATATCATAAATAGAAATTCTCAATCGTTTTCAACATGTTAAATTATTCCGTGCCTACAATTAACGCAACATTACACGACAATTATCGTCATCTACATCGTATTATTATATATTATAAATTACACAAGCCGTTGTAAGTTCAACCCTCGGCACCAACGTGTTATATCGCTCGTTGCGTTTTTACTTTATGTGCGCGATGTATCTTCATACACAGCGCCGAGCTCGTAAACAATTCGAACGCGGCCTAAACGTTACGAGTCGACGCAACGACAGAAAAAGAAAAGAAACTATATGGAAAACTATACCTTCCCTCGGCATCCTATATCCTACACATATCATACGATATATATTGCGTGTATTACACAACTTGATCGTGGCGCAGCAACGATAATAATCGACGAAATCCGCGCGCGCATTTCATTACAACTGTACGAGTGTAACAATGTGTGTATGCGTGCATGTGTATGTGTGTGTCGCGCAGATACTTTTGCTTTATTACACTACAACTGCGACACGACTACTCGCGCCTTTTGTACCTACCCCTTTTTTGCTGCTGCTACTATTCAATACATATATTTCGCATCACTCGGGGAGGTATAAAAATCGATCGTTTTGTTATCCTTTTCTTACAGATATTATACACGAAGCGAACATGTATTCTTGCCAATACGCGCATCGATGAGGCCTCATTCTCGCGAGATTTTTTTTTGACTCCCTTGAGAGACGTGTATACGTACGTGTCACGTTTATAGATATACATATGAAAAAAAGAGAGAGAGAGAGACATGTCAAGGATATCCATCCACACACGCACTAAGAAACAAGACCTGCTGCGTATATATTTGTAATGAAAATAACGCACGAGAGCAGAGCGTGCGTAATGTACAGCCTTAGAGGAATACGAGCATAATACTAATTAAAAGCCAGAGCTTAGCTACGGACCGGTGAGCGACAATGCAACGGAGCGAGACGCGCAGACGACAGGTAAATTCGCACACGCGTCGAGCCCTTTTGGGTATGCGATGTCGTGATTTTGATACGCTTAGGCGAGTTTACGCCGCGACGCGATAGTATAATATTTATTAAAGTGAGAGGGGCGTAAAGAAGGTTTAACGAATCGAAAGAAATATCATGGCTGAGAAAAATGTATAAATTATAAATGAAAATTTCGATGCCTCGTCCAGTGTTTTTACGACTTTTTTTTTGCGCTGCTTCTTCTACGCTCCTGTATGCAGTGCCAACGGCTCGCTGTTTCGCGGTTAGCTGAGTCATAACGTTGTGTTCGTGTATAGCTCTGTCTCTCTCACTCGCGCTGCTCCGCGTGTTCGTGCAGGTTACTCGATCCAACGTCCAACAATTCAAATTCACAGCTCGACTGCGTTGCTTTGTAAGACTCGGCTTCGCCCGCCTTGTTTACGCTAAGAACATGTTGTAAATGTATGCGTATGGTCAGTACAAGTTACGACGTCGCATCGTTAACACGGAAAGATCGCATCGACTGCAGACAGTGATTTTTTTGTGAAAATAGCAGTGAACAATCTTTAGTGAGTGCATAAAATAATGGTTGAAGAGAACCAAAACTGTTTGAATTTGAACGAATTAAATGAAACAGACGATGGAAAGATCGACGAGAAGAATCACGAATTTCTTGGTCATCTTTATTATTTTATCGAAAGTTACGAGGGCCAATTTCCTAACCTCCGAGACATTTTTCGGCCCGAAGCAATCGAATGGCTTCTTAACGAATCTGTCAATTCCGATAAAGACTTGATCGAATCAACAGCAGCTATCAACTTTATGATCAACGCAGGATACAAAGACGAACCAAAAGTCGATGAAAACGGAAAGCTATCGTTGTGTCGTACTACGCCAATACATTATGTGTCTAGGGGTATAACAAGATTAGGCAAAAAACACTTAATCCGTGATCTTTTTAAAATATTCGATAAATTCGACGTGAATTACACCGACGAAGATGGATCGACACATTTTCACATAGCCTGTGAGTATGGCTGTGATGAAATCGTCGCAAAATTTCTCGATCACGGAGTGGACCCCAATTGTCTTGAGCCAAAAACAGGTGAGTCGCCGCTACACTTGGCTGTGAACTACCTACACAAAGAAGTGGCTGAATTGCTTTTGAGAAACGGCGCCAATCCGAATTTGGCCAATAAGGAGGGTTTGACTCCTCTACACATCATTTGCAAGGATCCCTTCATGGCCGAGGACATGGCGAAGATTTTTTTCGAGATCAGCAACGACAAACCTCTGAAGCTACAGATCGATGCCCGAGACAACTTGGGTAACACTCCATTGCATTTGGCCATGCAAAACAATCGTGTAAAAATGATCGAATTGCTGCTGAGGAATGACGCTGATCCGAACATAGTCAATGGGGAAGGATCGACACCTCTGCACAGTACTTGCAGGGGTTGTTGCGATGATCGTAAATCGTTGGAGATATTCTTCAAGACCAACAAAGAAGTCAATCGGATGGTACAAGTCGATGCTCAAGACAATTTGGGCCGGACACCGCTTCAATTGGCTGTGGCAAATTTTTTGCCAGATGTGATTAATATACTTTTGGATAATGGTGCTGATCTGTCTTCCTTCGTTTTTCCCACATCATTCGGATTGACGGAGTGGGGTCAAAGTAATGATTTCGAACTCAAATTGAGTCTAGCATCTGGAGCTCTGTTGGTAGTCGAGCGCCTGGAAAAAAGAGGATACGAGCTGGCCCGAAAAGACGCCTTGATGATCATGAAATTTTTTGCCGAGCACGGATTGTTCATGAAGTCGACGGACCTTAATTACGATTGGCTTGATGACGAGGATTTTGTGGAAGAGGCGGAAAATATAATAGTAAATGAAAGTGATGACGACGACGAGGAGTTCGCGGCAGAGGCGAAAAAAAAAGTGATCAAGCCAAGTCTGTCGCTCCTCGATTTGATTCAGTTACGACCTGAAAAGGCAGCAAAACTTCTTACCTATAAGGACTATTTCACTAATTCGTATCGATTGGGAGATCTCTCCGAAGAAGGACCGGCTATCGAGGCTTGTGCTCGGTGTCTATGCGAGAGAGTATCGAGAGGATTTTTCCGGCGATGGGCGTTGGATCCTCTCTTGGAGCTGACTAAATATCAACTGCCGATTCTTTGCTGCGATATGATCATCGAGCAACTTATGAATGAAGATTTAAGTAATATTTGCTTGGCGGCTGCGGGCGAAAGCTCGTCTTAGTCATCAAGTACTTGCTGTTTTTTTTATATCTGATCTTTTATTAATTAATGTGGCATATTTTGTATATCGTTTAAATGAATAAATTGTAATAAAAAATTGAATTTTTTTACTTGTTTATACTTTTATTTATTTATCTGAATGGTTTCGACAATTATTAGCATATTGCTTTTATGCACTTTCTCTCAAGATTTAGTTATAGGACTTTTGTTTTATAAATTTCAGAAAAATCTCAAATTTAGATCTCGAAAAGGTATAATAGTCGTTGTTAAAAATTGTAATTAAATTTATAGCAAGCCCGAAAAAGTAGGGGCACACCAACAAAAACATGTTTTTTCATTTAAAAAAAGAAAAAAAGAGAAATCAACCAAATGTTTTGCATCTACCATTTTCTTTACAATAAATAACGCAACTTATACGTTGGAAAATTATTGTTGAAAAAAAACACAATCCAACTGTTTCTAGTCGCGTTAGCCAGAGGAATAAACTCACAAATAAATCGTAAGGATGCATGACTCCACAGGGTCAGAGTCTTTTTGCCGCTGTGATTGGCCCGCCAAAGCTGAAGTGGTATCATAAGTCCCGTGGCTTTGCGCATTATCTCTGTCTTTTTCGCTCACTTGCCTCGAGTCGTTCGCACAATTCCTGTTCGTGCGGGTAACTCGATCGAACAACGACACACACGTAGTTCAAGTTAGTCTTATTTCTTATAGCTCGGCGCGAATTTTTACCCCCAATTTATCTCTATGGTCAGTACACGCTACGACGCCACTAAGTAAACAAAGAAAAATCGTATCGACTGTAGCAAGTGACTTTCGTGAAAATAGTGGAAATTAGTTTATATTCGATTGTGTTTGTGCGTGAGTGTGTGAAACAATGGCTCAAGACAACCAAAACTGTACGAACAGACGCGATGAAAAAATCAATTGGAAGATCGAAGAAAAGAATCACGAATTTCTTCGTAAACTGAATCTCTTCATTAGAGGTTACCAGGGCCAACTACCTAACCTCCGAGACATTTTTCGGCCCGAAGCAATCGAATGGCTTCTGATGGATTCTGTTGACCACTATAATGAACCAAACCTTATCATCGACTTTGTAATCAATACCGGCTACAAAGACGAGCCTGACTTGAATGAAGATGGCAAGCCTCTGTTACGTCGCACCACGCCAATACATTATGCGATAAAGAAATATTATAGAAGACGAATCGTCCCTGATCTTTTTAGAATATACGACAAGTTAGATGTGAACTACACCGACGAGAATGGATTCACGCATTTCCATGCAGCCTGCACGTTAGGCTGTACAGACGTGGTCGAAAAATTCCTCGAGCTCGGACAGGATCCCAATTGCCTCGTGCCAGAAACGGGTAACTCGCCGCTACATTTGGCCATAATCAATAAAAACAAGGAGGTGATGAAATTGTTGATGAGAAACGGCGCCAATCTGAATTTGGCGAATAGTAGAGGAAAGACTCCTCTGCACGTTACAAGCGTGAT